GGAAACACAACCGCTGTGGTCAAACGTTACTTCTGTTTTTGTTTTTCCCGTTTCCTTGTTTTTTTGGAATGGAGTTCTTTGAGACCTCTCCTTCTAATGAATGAAATAAATGAAAGCACAACCATGACTTCTGAGAGAGACCTCATATTTGTAACTTAAAAGACATATCGTTATAGAATGAGGAATTTTTGAATAAAATATTCCTGATGAAGTCAGGATAAAATGAATGTTCAGCAAGTTTTGGTAGTTCTCGAGTATCTATCCATTCATTTCCAGCCGCATTTAATACACTGTTTTGTTCACTTCAACATTAGGATGTAACCGTAGTGATAAAAGAAGTGTTTTTAACCGCGCCAGAAAATCGCAATAACAAGGTAAGAAATCAATCACCTGTCATATACATGACAGCTTACGAAATACGAAAACTTTTTTTATCACATGAACCATACGAAGAACGGAAATTGGATCCGATGAAGTCTAATAGCCTAACCATTGCTTGTCTTTGCTAAAGACGATAACTATGAATTTCCTGACAAAAGAAGGAGAGTAGAAAATAGAATTGTTTAAAATAAAATGGCTTAATAGCTATACTTCCTGCCACAGTTTTGTAAAGTACCGTTTTTCAGGCATGCACTGAAATGGAGTACAAAAAGCTGCAAAACTTTACGTATTACTAATCTACCCAACTATTCTAAAATAAGTTCGCATCTGTGACAAAAACTTAAATTTTAATGATTGGGTTATAATTCAGTATATTACGAAGTCCAGTAAGGCTTGGTAAAACGAATAAAAGGAAGAAAAGTGAAAGTTAGGCGTGCCGGCATAACCATCCCTTTATGAATATACAGTGAGTATTTCCTTTGCCTTGCCTCCAGTTTCTTAGGTGCAAAAAAAAAAAAAGAAAATTGAAATACCGACCAACTTCGACCATCAATTTATTTCTGTCGCTTATATTTTTCTCCAATAACGTATCCGTCGAGCGTTATCAAAATAATAACCGTGAGTTTGTGAGTCATCTCAGAATATGTTGATATACGTGCAAAATTCGAGAAGGATCTAACTCCATGGACAGCAAAGTGCTTGTCTTATTAGCTGCTTCACTGCTCGTCTTACTTCTCTAATCTTCCAGCAGTAAAGAAACGGGTTTAACGTCGAGTTACAGTAGATTAAGGCAACTGCTATTCCCCAACAGACGACTAGGCTCGACAAATATGTTTCACTATAAGTCATTACAACTTCCACTATACTAAATGGGACGTAACAAACAACCAATGCTAACTGCACCCACAATGCACTGGCCACTGCCTTTCTGTATCGCGCGATGTTCAGTGGTGCATTTGGTTGCCTCGGCTGTTGTTGAACATGATCTTGTACTTGAACGTGATGCCTTTTTCGACTGAGAGCGCGAAAAATCTTTGTGTACGTTGCAATTGCGATCACGGAGCATGGCAGTGTCGTTATCGTGCCATACCAATCCGTTATTCGGCCCTTTAAAGGGTAGCATAAAGTAGCGACACCTGATACAAACAAAATGGCAGCCACAGTGAAATATGTACGTTTCAAATTTACAATTTGTCTGTATCTCAGCCCTAACAACAGGGCGAGAAGTCTGTCCACACATATGGCCGTCATCGCGAACAAAGACACTGAACATAATGCATAACTTGTCATCGAGAATGCGTCAAATGCGAGTTGACAAAGGCTCCACTGTTCATAAACCACGCACATCCAGTAAGTTGAAAAGAGAGGTTGACTAACAAGACCAACCAATAGATCCGTTGTTGCCAAACAACGATGCAAGAGTTTGGAAGGTGGATGAAGGGAAGATTCCTTGTGAAGGACAGTTAGGATAAGAGAATTCCCAAGAAATGCTGTGAGGGAGAGGACAAGATTGAATGCTATCATATAAATTGATTGGTGTTGTAATCCACCAACCAAAGAATAGGAGCAAAATTTGTCAAATCTTTGTTGTGTTCCACCCCGTGTTAAATTTTCAGTCGCGTTCATTTTTCAACCAAGCCTAATTAACAGCCGCCTCCTTTTTCCGATTTTAATTGCAGCAAAATATTTCTGTCTTTTTAGCATCTGCTAAGCCAGAAATACTACAATTTGATTTCTTTACAAAGTTTCATCAAAAACCCGAGTCCAAAGCATTTCCTTAGTCTACGCACATGTAACAATTTATCTGTTTATCGTGTCCTAAAAACTGTTAAAAGTTTTCGTCATTGGAGTTATAACATTGTTTTTATTATTATTATCATTACTAGAACCAAAAGAGGGATCGATTATTGGGAAATTTGAAATTTCAGTTTTCGTTTTCTACAAGGCCCCAGAATATCTGTAAAATGTTAATTTAACTTTATAATGTCATAAGCCATTAACCATTAAAGGGACCGCTTCAATTACCACTGAAGTTTTTATTACAAAATTTCACTCCGGAAATTTCCTTCCAGATGCTATTGTTTTACGTAAAACAGAAGCACTAGTTTTATTTCTTAAC